ACACCAGGCACATTTATGTGCATGCCCAAAATCCCAAAAGGAGAATGGAGGACAAGGGATTAGGGTGTGGTCTTCCACTCTGGGGAGTGATTTCTCACTTCAGTTTTTCTGTCTCTCTGGTGAGTGCACATGTCCTATAGCAAAAAATCTCTCCAGAAAAACAAAAAAGAAAAAGTATGACTTTGGCTGGGCCAGCCACTGGAGTACTGGTTAAGACAACTGGGTCCCACATTGCTGACTGCAAGGTTTTAGTCCTAGACCTGGCAGCTTGAAAAGCATGACAGGTAGGTGTGCACATGTACCCAAAATCCCAAAAGGAGGCCAAGATGGAGAAGAAGCGATTGTGGCATGACCATCCTCTATAGTGACTTCTTTCTCACTTTCCCTTTCTCTGTTTCACTTCGATGAGTACACATGCCTTCTGGGAAAATTTTTTTTTTTTGAGAGAGAGATTTTCACTGCAGGGCGCGTGCGCTCGCCAGACAGACAGAGACATAGAGACAGAAAGCGAGAAATCACCCCCAGGGGGGATGGTCACGCCGCAATCCCTTCTCCTCCATTCTCCTCTCGGGATCTTGGGCACGCACGCACACGTGCCCGGTGTGAACCACATGCACTTAATTCTGCCCAAAGTCTGAATGAGCCTGTTGTCAAATTCTCTTCCAGAGCCTTCAGAAAGGAACATACTTCTAATACTTGATTTTGGCTTTTGAAATTCAGAGCTGAGAAATCATCCTAACACATTGGATTTTTGACATACAGAATTGTCTAAGAATAAATTTGTGTTTTTGTAAGTGTAACATTTATGGCAATTTTTATGGCAATAATAGAAAACGAATACATATAGCAGCATTCAAAAAGATTATGAAAGAAAATGAAAATAAAGTACAACTTTATTTGCAATCAGACTGTCTTCAGATCTGGTCCAGTAACTGCACTGAAATTGGCTGTTCACTGCTCAAAAGAGCAATGATCAAGTGGCCAATGTTGGTAAAAAGGAACGGTAGCTTTACTCAAGAAACTGGTGACCTGGGACGATGGTGAACTAATGTTCAAAAACCACCTCCAAAGTCACAGACCAGGACACAGGATTTTAAATGGAAAGATAGGAAAGGTAAGAAAGGGCAACCATGTGCTCTTCTACATAGTCACAGTGAGACTGGCAGGTCCTAGAGTTGCTGTGCACAGGGTCACTTCACCCTCAAGGTCTCTTTCCTCTTTGTTTTCTTAGACACATCTGTCTAGCTGTGATTTGTTTTTGTTTTTGTTTTTGTAGAGGTTTTTGCTACAGGGTGCATATGCACTCACCAGAAAGAGAGAGACAGAGAGACAGAAAGCAAAAAATTACCCCCAAGGGGGGATGGCCACGCCGCAATCCCTTCTCCATTCTCCTCTCCGGATCTTGGGCACGCACGCACACATGCCCAGTATGAGTTTAAGCCACCAGGTCCAGGACTCAAACCACGGTCAACTACATGGGAGTCCAGCAACAAAGTGTTTACTGCTGGTTCCCTAGCTATGGTTTCAAAGCCCGGCTTCTATTAAAACTCAGTAAAGCTATGACTAGGATTTTTATTTTTCCTACAAGTTAGACAGTAAAGCCAGGTCAGTTAGCAAAACAGAAGCAAACCATCTTTAACAACTAGTCTACTGGGTCAGATTTAATATAGAGCTACTTTGGTTCTTCCTTGTAACTTGGTTACATACGCTAGTGCGATATTGTTTTATAAAAACCCATTCACATACTTTTTTCATATTACATGTTTTCCGTGAACCTTTTGAAGACCTTTTATGTATTACTTGCCCCTCCTCGAGTTCATATTATAGTGGGAGAGATAAAAATGAGGTAAGCAGATAAATGAGCAAAATCACTGCGTAATGTAAAATAATTTGTGTGAGAAATAAAAGAACTGATACAACAGGGAATGACACAGGAGACATATGTATTAAGAAGTGTTGCTAAAAGTGATACTCAGGTTGAGCAAAAGGAAAAAGAGCAGGACACGCAGAAGGAGAGCATCCCATGCAGAGGGAACAGATATGCAAAGGCCATGAGGTGTGAAAGATCTCAGAGTGTTCAAGAAATTGAAAGATGGAGAGGAACATTATATATAGTAAAGAGAAGAGAGAAGAATGAGATTGTAAGGGTAGGCTGAGCTGAGAGCATGTGGTGCTTTATAGAACATGATCTGAAATTTAGGTTTTATTCTAAGAACAGTAGGAAGTCCTCATAAGCTTTTAAGCAGAAAAGTGCTGTGGGGATGAAATTCTGAAACAGAAAAATGGCATTAGTAGAAAAACTGGAGAAATTCAAAAATGTCTTAGCTAGCTAATGGTATTTCTACTGGGGCTCATTTTTTTAGTGTAGGTAATTGTGCCATGGTTAGATAAGGTGTTAACACAGAGGAAACTGACTGAACGTTTAGGAAATCTCTCTGTATTATTCTTGCACTCTTCTATAAGCCCTAAAATTATTTTGTAATAAAGAATTAGAAAGAAAAAGAATGCCATGATCTATTTTTTTAAACTTAAGATTATGCTTCTCAGTTGGAGTACAGTACAGGCACAAGAATAAGAGTGTGAATACGAACCAGTCAGGAAACTAGTTCAGTAAGTCACAGAGGAGAGAGTGGAACAGAAAGCATCCTGTGAGACACGTTGGAGATCTGTTTCTGCAGTAGAATCCTCAGGACTTTGTGATGCATAGTGTATGTACACGTATGTGTGCATAGATTTGTTGTGGGAAGGCGGGGGAGGCTGGGCAGTAAAGAAATAGGGAAATCAAGTTCTAGGTTTCCAGTCTGAGATAGTAAGTGTTATCTCATTTACTAACAGTAAGATGGCATAGTGTGGGGAGGAAAGAATATGAATTGTTAAGGTCAATGTGCCTCTAAATGAAGGTACTAAAACTCAGAGACAAGCTCTGGGCTGGAAATGCATTGTAGGTACTAGCTTGAAGAAGAACAGGATATTCAAATGCTTATGCATGCTAGGTAGCTTGAAGAAGAACAGGATATTCAAATGCTGCTCCCTTGTGGTTAGGAGTTAAGATATTTTTATAAACAATAAGGACAGGCAACATCCAGAAAAACCTCCTAGGGTCAAGCCAATGGTTTGGATTGGCGTGCCAAAGGGTAGAAGATACTTTTACATTTTCGCTGTGCTTATTTCTCATTTCCTTTCTTGGTAAAATTCTTATCAGAAGTGCCAGGATACCATGGCTCTGCTTGGTAGAATCAAGAAAAAAAAATTATCTGTTTATGTTTGAACTATAGTAGAGTGGGGAAAGTAGTGATAAGTGGATTAAATTATGGAGCATCTATGGAAAGGACTCTAGGGAGAAAAATTCAGTTAATATTTTAAACCAAGACTTCTCTATTAGTTGACCACTTCTCATATAGATAGATCATTTATATCTGTATCCATTACATATGTATACAATTGTACATTTATATTTATCTCTATATGAAATGGGCTAGTCATTTTTTCATACAAAGTGTTTGGCACAAAAGTTATGGCATCTAAAAATTGCTGAATGTCTTTGTAGAACATTTATAAAGGGACATCTGGGCAACATATTTGAATTTAAAGTACAAGAAATTTTACATTATTTCTCCAAATTAAACTACAAAGATTGGATGCTTCCTAATGAAACATTTATAAGATATTGACTAAGATGATAATCACATGAGAAGATGACAAACGTCTCCTCTTTTTTTTTTTTTGAGAGGTTTTTCCGCTATAGGGCGCGTGCGCTCCCCAGACAGACAGAGAGAGACAGAGAGACAGAAAGTGAGAAATCACCTCCCAGGGGGATGGTCACGCCGCAATCCCTTCTCCTCCATTCTCCTCTCAGGATCTTGGGCATGCACGCACACGCGCCCGGCGTGAGTTTTAAGCCACCGGGTCCGGGACGCGAACCGCGGTCGACTACGTGGGAGTCCAGCGACATAGCCATTACGCAAACTGCTGGTTCCCGACAAATGTCTACTCTTAACAGGCTTACCATGTATCTAAGCCAAGGACAAAAGAGAATCCCCTTCATTATCTTTTTTCTTATAAATTTTACATAAAACCTCAGCATTCTTGGTCTCTTGTCCAGAATTACAAAGTTCAGATCCTGTCTCTCTTCTTCTACATACTTTGTGAACTGAGGTTTTAATAAAAGATTAATCTCCAGCCTAGAGACAACACCTAGACCATCTCAGTGTCATTTGGATTCTGTTACAAAATGAATGGTCTGATCTTCTTGGTTAGATTTTTTTAATGGTCATATCAGAAACACGCATTCCTTGGAATTAATTAAAATGGTTTAGATTTGAGATATGTTGCATAATAAAATGCACTAGTAATATCTATCTATCTACTGAGCAAAGTAAGGCCATGGAATGTTGGATGTCAACTCCCAACCCACAACTCTTGAGGGTTTGCACCTGATGTTTCTGGTACTCCCTTGCTATGGAGTACTGTGTTCTGTTTGTGAAGTGAGAGATGCTTGCATTTGTCAGTTCTCTTTAATTGCTACTTGCATCACTTCCCCATAGACCACTCCCCACTTCTGAGCATGGTCTAATTTTTCACTGTCAGACAATGTGCCCTGTCCCAGCCATCCTCTGCTCCAGCCATTAATTCCTTTGCCATTGACCTCAGCCACATGGGAAGATAATAGTGCCCAGACATAGGACTGCTTATCATAAGGCAGTCACTTTAGTGTTGTAGTCCAAATGGGGAAAAAAGGGAAAAAGAAAGAAACAGAAAAAGCCCTTTATTAGCTAGGGAGTTGTTGGCACTACCTGCTGAGTGATTTGAGAAGAGCTCCTAGACCAAGTTGACCCTTCAAGGAAAGAGGGAAGATATCCCATGAAGCAATTGTTCAAACCACTTAGTGGAACTCCATTCTTTAAGGGGATCACCTGGCGATTGACATCACTTCCTTGCTTAAAAGTACTACCATTTTCTATGTTTTAACTTAGTTATCTTTTTGCAGGCTGAACCCCCTGCTGAATTCTTCAGACATACAACACTCACCCCGGCATACCCTCCCTGGCAGTGGGTAAATGGCAAATAAAAAGGTTCTCTCCATCACGTCAATTGACGAGGGCAGGTGGCAGAGTACCCAAGGATGCTTTTGCTCTCCATACAGCTTAATGTCTCCAAGATCAAACACGCAGATCGTGGGAGGAACAGGTGATCAGCGGGCGACAATAGATGACTATACTAGGTTCTGGATGAGTTGTGCGACTCAGACAAATGGATGGCCCCATTTAAAATGACTTCAGAAGTATCAAAGGAGGTCTCTGTAGTTGCCGTATGTGCCTTCAGATTCGAATGTTATTTTCCAATCCTGCTGGTGCTCCTATTGCAAAATGAGAAGGAAATGTAAAAGGACTTTTTCATCATCCAGACTTCTTCCCATCTGTTTTTTCTAAAGAGAAATATAAACTTTGTAGGTTTTGGGATAAGGCTGGGACAATATGTTTGTGGGAAATAAGAAAACAGGCATGCTATGTCCACGAGGTTTTCACCAAGAAAAAAAGTATGGGATAGTTTTTCTATTGCAACCTCAGGATTTTGGATCCGCCCCCATAAACCCCACCCCCCACCCCGCCCTGCAAGAAAAGTGGAAATTTCCATTTGGGGATGGTGTGCAACTCATTTCGTTATGTAATATAAATACAAGCAGCTCTCTACACATAGTTATAGTCATCAAAATAAAAACAACATTTTTGCCAAGATTTTATATTGCAAATATGTTGTTTGTTTTTATATATTTTTAAAAAAAAACAGTGTTTTTCATTACTAGTATAAAACTCAAGCAGTACAAGGAGCATCAAATTAAAAGTCTGTTTCCCTCTCACTCTAAATTCCAAGTTTTCTCATTCATTACCTCAAAAACAGTCAATACTGCGATTTTCAGTGTAGACTTCTAAAGAGAATTTGCACATTTAAAGAGATTTATATGTACGTTCTTTCATAGGTGCCCTGGTTCTATTTTTTTATACAACTAAAGACCTAAATCCATGTTATTCTAGTCTTTATGTTTTTTTTTCACTTGTTTATTTCTTAGAAGCAGTACAGAAAGTCATATATATATTTTCATTCTTTCATTTCATTCGTGGTAATGTCTCATTCCATAATGTGTACATTCCAAAATCTACTTAACCTGTCTTCTACTCACTGACAATTACATGTCCCCTACTTTTTGCTACTATAAACAATGCAGCAATTATTTCTGTATAGAATTTTTGTGCCCATATTCAAATATAGCTGTAAAATAAATTCCTAAAATGAAAACCTTAGAGGAACAAAATCTATGTATGTTTGACAAATATTACTGATTTTCTGTCCTAACAGTTGGTACTAATCTAAAGAATAGCCAATAGTGCAGAATATTGCCTATTTCCTCAAAGACTTGCAACACATTTAAACTTAATTTCCTTTGTCCACCTGACAAAGGAAGAGGTTAAAGCTTGCTTATTTTTAAATACTTTAGTATTAATTATAAATGAAATGGAGTTGGATTTCATTCATTTAAATGTTTTTTTGAACTGACATTTTTCTATTGATTTGAATGCTACCTACTTATTATGTTGAATCATATGTAATTGCCATTTTCATAGGTCAAGAAGAGTTGAAAATCAGCAACTTAAACAGAATGACTAGAGAGATAGATGATACATATCTGTATCAAAAACAAAAATGAAAGGTTATCTGCTGATGATAACATACATGGTAATGTCTTTGACTTGACTTATGTGTACTGTATTCATGCTGGGAAAAAATCATGTTGTACACTGTAAAGATGTACAGTAGTTAAATTTAAATAAAAAATAAAATAAAATAAAATAATAATATGATTTTAAAATGCATAACAAGATATCTTCTCAGTGTTTTTCAGAACTATATGGGCTGATTTTGTATCTTATTTTCCTATATGAACATATAGAAATATTGTCCTTCCAAATAAATGGATATTTCATTTTAAAATTTTATATTAAACTACACTTATAAATAATTTAGAGGCAATTAATATTTGTAAAGGGCTGAATTTTCCTATCCTCTTCTTCGAGGATACAGAAACTCAATCAGGTAAAAATGTCAAATTCATGATGCCTCTCTGTAGACATTTAGTTTTCTTTTTATATAGGTCTTATGTATTCTTACTAATTTTATTTCTAGGTATTTTATAAATATAAAGATTATTATAATAGAATTTTTCTATTATATTTTGTAATTTGTAGTCCTTTGAGAAATATTAATTTTTAAATACGATACACAATTAAATTTCATTATTTCTCTTAATAATTTTTTATTGAGCTCCCAAAGATATTAGCATACCATCTATAAATAAACATATTTTATGTCTCTATATTTCATATTTTATTAAATCAGCTACATTTACAAAATTAACATTCTGTTGTTAAGCAATATTCTATTTTCTGATTTGAAATATATGTAGATATATTCAGAGAGAGAGAGAGGAAGTGTCTTTTTCAATAAAATTTAGTGGAAAATGTTTATGTAATACTTTTGTTAAATTTTAGAAAGTACCACTTTGTAATTCCTTTCACAAACAGTGAAAATATCATGTAACTTTTTTCTTTTGATCTCTATTAATAACTAATTTTATTAATATTGACTAGATGCACTAAAAATTAAGCCATCCTTGCCTTCCTGATGTAATTGCACTTAACTGTGCTATAGCCTTCTTTCACTTGTTGCTAAATTTCATTTGCTAACAGTGTTTTATTTTGTATTTTAAAAATCAATATTTATAAGTAAAATTGGCTTGTAGCCTTATGTTATAATATTATGAGTGCAATAGTGGCTTCAGAGAAAGAAAATGGAAAATCCTTTATATCTCTCAATGATCTGCACTGCTCTGGAGTAATGTAGGGAATATAAAAGTAATTAGATATTTGAAGATGAGCAAAATTTTCCTGTGAAGTTGTCAAGTTTGGTGTTTGATGCTGTGGGGAGGGTGGCTCTTTGGTTAATTTTTTTCCTAAGATATTTAATCTTTTCATCTATATAATTTCAAAGTATCTTGTTTTCCCAGTTTTTCAATGAAATAGATCATTGAGATAGGATAATACTGTGAACATATTTTGAAGGGCTATTTAAAGAAGGGTTGAAGTCAATCATCAATTACCTACAAACACCTTAGTTTGGGAACCAGCAGTTAGCGTAATAGCTATGTCGCTGGACTCCCACGTAGTCGACCGCGGTTCGTGTCCCGGACCCGGTGGCTTAAAACTCACGCTGGGCGCGTGTGCGTGTGTGCCCAAGATCCCAAGAGGAGAATGGAGGAGAAGGGATTGCGGCGTGACCATCCCTCCTGGGGGGTGATTTCTCGCTTTCTGTCTCTATGTCTCTCCCTGTCTGTCTGGCGAGCGCACGCGCCCTACAGTGAAAATCTCTCCAAAAAAAAAAAAAAAAAAAAAACCTTAGTTTATCTGTGTGTCTCCTCTCATTCCAGGAATCAGTACAGAGAAACATCAGGAGGAGAAGTGAACTTCGTATGTTTGTGGGCTGTGTAAAATGTGTCTAACAGGGCTTCTGACTAAATATTTCTATCAATAACCAATTTCAACTAACTTATATATTTGTATGAAATACTAAAATTAAAATATACATGCAAGAGTTGTTTATTATGGTTTTATTGTTTTACAGATGAAGAAATTCTGAAAGGCAAAAAATTTGCCCAAGTTTTGAAAGCTGATACAAGCTTGAGATAGAACTGAAAACTGTGCCTTAGAATTGTAAGATTATTTCTGTTCTTCTATATCACTTTTTCCTCAAGTATCATATGGAATTCTGGAATGACTAATTTTAATTATACAATTTATAGTTCAGATATATTTAAGGATGTTAAAAAAGTTTAGACTGATTCTTCAAATGAAAAAAATACTATCCATCACACAAAAATGTATTTTTTAGCATTTTCCTTCAACATATCTGTCAACATAAGTAAATACATTTTGAAAATAATTTGTATATACTGCAGTTAAGATGGGATTCACAATAATTAATTCTGCTCTCCATGATATTCAAATAAATGCTTATTTGTTTATTTGGGCTTCTATTACAAATGCCGGAATCTAGGTAGCTTATAAACAACAGAAATGTATTGCTCACAGTTGTAGAAGATGGGAGATTCAAGATCAAGGCTGATTCGGTGTCTGGTGAAGGCCCACTTGTTGACTCATGGACAGTGCCTTTTTGCTGTGGCCTCACATGGTAGAAGGGGTGAGGGACTCCATAATAAGATCACTAGTTCCATCATTGAGGTTTTGCTGACATGACTTAATCACCCCCACAAGAGTCTACCACCTAATACCATCACTTTGGAGGTTAGGATTTAGGATTTCAACATATGAATTCCTAGGGGACACAGCTGTTCAGTCCAAGCAGTTACCAAAAGAATAAAATGAAACTCAAAAATAATAAATAAATAAATAAAAATAAAAGATAAATGTCATTTTGAGTTTTGCTGTTCATTCAAGGGAATACTAATGGGGCTCAAGAGTGATTCTGGCATGTTCATGAAAGAGAAGAGCCTTAAGTTAAGTATCTTCCTTAAATACAATAGGTATTGACAAAACATTGGAATTTGGAGATTATTTTTCAGTTTTCAAAGCAGCATACATAGACACAGAGCTGTAAAAATGACATTTAAATTGTATACTGGTGTAAGAGTCCTTTTCTCTTAAATTATTTGGATTTTTTAAGCAAAGAAAGTTTGAATTGCAGTCATGCTTAACTAAATGAGATATCAGAAACTGTATTAGAACAGAAATAGACTGAGTTATTGTTTGTATTTTGGCAAGTTTGAAAATTCCCATTTTTAGCTCTTGTGATGAATGTGAGAGGTTGGTGTTGGGTTAGATCTATCACGACACATACAGTTGTGGTTTCAGGGTACAGAGAGCACAGAATTCTATTAGCACTGAACAATGAGCCACTCAAGCTTGACATAGTATGAGATAATCATAAAAATATTTTATAAGCCAATTTTCACCAACATCCTCCTTGGTAACTACCTATATCAAATGATGGCTAGGAAGTGCATAGGTTTGGAAAATAAATGGGAAAAATTAAAGAAGTTTTTAATCTTATCTTTCCATATCTTGAATCTTTTCAATATTCTAAGAATGCCATAGCTGGGTACTTCTATGCCCCGTATCAAGCCTCAAAAAAAAAAAAAAAAATTATCAGAATAGTCACATGGGAAAAATTAGCCTTCTTCCCTTTTACCCTTTCACCTGTATTCATCTTTGAGCATAAATGACGCTAAAGGAAGATAATTTTACAAGGGATATTCTCATGATGTTAGCTGTGACAAAGGAATGAAAATGACTGGCAATTGCAAATATATTGCTTTAAGAATTTCAGGCAATGAAGGAAGACATATTTGAATGTTTTTCTGCCTGACTATGCTGTTAACCCCTTTTTAATTCATATGAATTCCTGTCTAAATAACACTATTCTCCAAGAGTGTGGATTTATTTGCCTATGCCAAACTTGGTTATTATGTGCTGTACAGTGTTAACAAACCTTACACTTACTTTGCACTAAAACTTAGTAGAGGAGTAAGGTCATAAAACATGAATGACTGAAAAAGTCACAGCATCCTTCCAGGTCTCAGTCTCCTCACCTGTGAAAAGAACAAGGTGGCAGATTAACTAGAAGATCCACAACTGCTCCTTTTTAAATAATACATTGATGTCTCTTCTGGGACTGGGATCTTTCAATGAGAAGTAAGTTTCATGTAGGAAGATGGTGAAAAAGAACATTCTTTCTAAATAAATAAATCATTGTCAAATGACCAGTAGATCTAGATACATCCAGCATTAAATAATAGAGTGAAAATATCCATTGTTTTGAGCACAGATGAAGATATTTACCAATTTCATAGCCATAGTCCCTGATTACAGGAAGCAATCTCTTTCTTCAAAGACATACTGAAGAGAGCAACTGTAGATACTAGAGAGTGCGAGGGGGATGAGGGATTAAGGCAGGGAGATTGGTTCAGGGAGAAATGTTTAACAGACACAGAATGCATGTAAACAAGGCAAATAGAGTACAGAATGGTATGCCACAACAGAGTTTAAAACAAAAGGGTATTACTAATTATATATACATATGTGTGTGTGTGTGTACACATATATTACTCTCTCAAAAAACAGAATTAAGATGCACAATATAATGTAATGTTTTGTTGAAGATGATGAACATGGTAAAATCCTTGATTTGATTATCACACTGCATGCATACTTTGAAAAACCATATTTGACTTCACAAATAATGTATAACAAATATAAATAAGAAATTATAAAAATAAAAACATAAAAATAAGACAATTCTTCAAAAGATTAAAAGGGAAGAAAGAAAGGAGAAAGAAAGAAGAAAGGAAAAGAAAGAGAAGGAAAGAAAAGAAAGGAAAGAGAAGAAAGAGAAGAAAAAGAGAGAATGACAGAAGAAAGGAAGAGAAAGAGAGAAAGAAAAGGGAAAGAAAGAAAGAAAGAAAGAAAGAAAGAAAGAAAGAAAGAAAGAAAGAAAGAAAGAAAGAAAGAAAGAAAGAAAGAAAGAAAGAAAGGAAAGAAAAGAAAGAAAAGGAGAGGAGAGGAGAGGAGAGGAAAGGAAAGGAAAGGAAAGGAAAGGAAAGGGAGAAAGTTCTTTCCATTATATTCTCTTTTGTATGGGACAGAAACTAAGGCTAGATTTCATGCAGATCAACACAAGTTTGAAGATTTCTCTTTATTTTCTCTCTAGATGTCTCTATATGTGTGGTAGAAAAAAATATTTATTTTTACATTGATAGCCCCCATTTCTAAATAATCAGCACCTCTTCTATAAAATTTAAAATCCATTGTTAATTATAGCTTTAGTCTGATGACAGGAAATTCACTAGAATGTCCACTTTCATGGCAAGGGAGCATATTTTAATATTAGAATGTGTAGAATTGTAAATGCATTTAGCATTTGTTCTGTAGTCTTAACTGCCATCTATTTACCAGTTAGACAGTGAATGCTAATGTTAGAAAGGAAAAAAAATGTAAATATTCATGATGCTGCAGAAAATATAGACATAAAATATAATTTTTGTTACTCCCCACTGGAAGCTATAAGTAAAGCTGTGTACAAAGGAAGGACAGAGTGTTCATAAATATGAACATAGCAGCCGATTGTGTGGGAAGGCAAGGCTCCTAGGATCTCCTGCTTTTTCACTATTCCAACCTTTGAGAGTCACTGTCTGTGATTTGGCCATATGTAATGAGTGCCTGCCTGGTCTTTGTCAGGATTTTACTGGGAGGACTGAAAGGCACATTGCCTACCACCATGACACACTGGAAATCTCTGGGACATGGTAACAGGCAGGATCATGCTGCTGAAGCTCTCAGAGTTATTTCTAGTTGTGTGAGTAAAATCATTTCAGTCACATTTCCATTTCTTCATTCAGTAAGGTGGAAAATGGCTCATTGTTCATGCATCCTACAATTATGAAGAAATTGTGAGAGAACATCTATGACGTAAATAGCTGGGGAAATGTAGCTAAAATGCATTAAATTGCAGAAAGCACTTTTCAATAATTAGAAATGTTTAAGGACTAAGTATTAGTGAGAGCTATGGACTAATAAAACCAAAGGTAAAATATTCTCAACTTAAATTTTCACAGCAGAAGAGACAACAGGCCGAGGCAGGGACCACATTTTGGAAGAGGTTCTGCATTATGCTAAAATGTCCTTTGATATCATTACATTTGTATAATTTCACAAAATGGTAAGACTATTCTACTTCTCTCTTTTCTAATGGAAATTATAATTACACATTTTACTTAGAAGAGTTTAAATATTGAGAGCCATAAAAATAAAGAAGAGAAAGACTGTTTTAATACAAAGCATCATTCTAGAACATTTGGCCTATAAGGAAACCTGGTTCTGCTCACTAAAATGCAGACTGTATTTATAGCTGGCTCAGAGCGGCAAATGTCTTAACTAAACTGAAATGTGGAGAAAGCATCTAGATTTGTCACTGTGAGCTGTGTGATCCTAGCAATTTATTGTATCTCAAGAGATAGTCTTCATTTTTTAAAGAATAGACACAATAATTTCTTCTCTTTTTTTCCTCTTTCTTTTTTTTTTTTGGGGGGGGGGTTTGCTATAGGGCGCATGTACTCGCCAGAAAGACAGAGAGGGACAGAGATACAGAAAGCAAGAAATCACCCCCCAGGGAGGATGGCCATGCCACAATCCCTTCTCCTTCATTCTCCTTTCGGGATCTTGGGCACGCACACACACATGCTCGGCGTGAGTTTAAGCCACCGGGTCTGAGACTCGAACCACGGTCAACTACATGGGAGTCCAGCGACATAGCCATTACGCTAACTGCTGGTCCCAAGAATAGACACAATAATTTCTACACCACTTTTCTCCTAAGTGGATGGGGAGGATAATGGAAAGTAATTACTATCAAAACATCTTAATTAAAATATGTCAGAATAAGTAGAATTCTAATCATCCATTCATTTATTCAACAAATGTTTGACTAAGTACCTAAGATATGATGGGCACTAATTTTAAGTGTAAGGAAATCATTTGTTAAGGAAACATTTCTTGCCCTTATGATCTTACATCTTCTAGAGGAGAAAAACATATATAACTTAACAAATATAGTATCAGGTAGTGGTAAATGATAAGAATATGGAGGAAGGAAATAGAGAGTGATTTTATTTGTGTCCAGAAACTCTTCTGGATAAGTTGTCAATGAAGAATGTTTGGATGTGATGTTCTTTGAGTAAAATTTTGATGATACTTGAGAGATAAAACATGTGAAGATCTGTGGCAAAAGAATAAATAGCTATAAAAGCAACAAGTACAAAGAACTGAAGTGTGAAATGCTTTGTGTGCTTGGGTAGGCTCAGGATACAGTGGGACTGGAGCAGAGAGAAACACAGTAAAGAGAGGAAGAGTCTAGGGCAGACCATGTGGGGGCCAGTATCATGACTTGGGAAACTATCACAAGGACAGTTAGAAACCATTGGAAGATCATGATCGATAGATGCCCACACCCTAACTTCTGCTTTGAAAAGATTATTTTTGATTTTCCTGACATGGCAGGCAAGAGTGGAAATGTGGAGGTTTCTTTAATAGTCCAGGTCTTAGATAATGGTGACTTGAGCTAAGGCAGGTACAATGGAGGTGACAGATTTGGGATATGTTTTGAAAGTGGAATGTATTGAGTTGTAATAGAGACTCCTGATACATGACTCATGTAGACAGTTGAATACTGTGTGGCTACTCTCCCAGATAAAAGTATGAAGGACAGTGAGCCTTTATACTTCCAAGCTCTTCTGACTTGGTAGACAGACCAGGTCCTCTGAGCTCTCTGTGTGCAGGTTGTTTCAAACTAAACTTAGAGTACATCTGGGAGAAACTATGGAGGTAATGAGCAGCTATAGGTACTTATTTATAATCTTGATCATGTCTTTCCTTTGATTTGTTTGGTGGTTGGTAATAAACCAAAGTGTAAGCAATCCAAACTCCAATTCAGTAGAAAATATTATATATTTTTCTTGCTGAAGAACAAAGCAAGGAAATTAGCTGAGAGTAAGGGGTTGGAGAGCTTATTTTGAACATTAGAATGTGGAAAGGTATAAAATATTTATATTGGAGATTGGGAAAGTAAATTGACCAGGGAAATGTAGTGAGAATAATGAGCATGATAATGGCCAACTTGAATTTAGTGCTGATTTTGAACATAGATCACTTAGCATGATTCAAATCTATGAAAAGCTCCTTGGATCAAGAGCACAGTAGTTACAGAGCTGGATGTAACCACCTTAGAGTTTTTCCTGGGAGCAGGATATAGGGAAAAAAAGATTTAAAGAACTGTGGAATATAAACTGAGTAAAGAGGCATGGTATGGTGAAGGACAACGCAAAGGTGGTTGTCAACAGCTAGTAGAGTGGGAAGACCAGAGAAATATTCTAGAAAAATATCAAGTGTTCAGATACGAAATTCTTAAAACTGGTGGTGCCATTATTGGTCATTGACCAGGATTTATGCCCTAGGAATGGGTGGCTATATAGTGAGCATTTGTGGCTGATGATTGATTAAAGTAGAAGGTGCCATATAACCTTTAAATCTCTGAATTATTTATACAGTATTTTTATTTGTATGTTTGGTTTTTTTCTTTACCACAGTTTAAGTCTGATATATCTAGGATATTTTCTCTTAGAAGATGAGAGACTGTCACAAATTTGTTGGTAAAGTTTATAAGTGATATAGATTCTTTTAGGTCTTTTGGAGACTTTGACACTCAACTGTGAAAGCATTAATTCTTTGAGCTCAAAATTCCAAGTTCCATGATAAAGTGTTCCTTGTAGACCTTAAACTATTTCATCTGTTTGCCTTCCTTCTGCTCCTCCTCCTCCTTCTCTTTCTCTTCTCTCCCTTTCTGTATACAAATAGAGAGGTAGATATATAAATATAAATAAATAAATTTGAAGGTAGATAAAATTTATTTGAAATAAAAATAAATTTATCCTTTTATACTCACATTTACCTCGAATGAACTATGAACTAAATTACATACTACTTGTGGATGGCAGCAGTTTTTTATCATCAAAATGAATAATACAACCATATATTATAGCCAGGATACATAAACATTCCCAAGACTTATAAGACATCAGAATAGGTCCATACATCCCTGAACTTTAAGAAATATATATGGAGGGGACCGACAGGTGGCATGGTGGTTAAGGCAGTTGGATTCCCACATGGCCAAGCATGGTTCAAGTCCTAGACCCAGTAGCTTGAAAAATCACACCAGGTACATATGTGTGTTCACCCAAGATCTTGAGAGGAGAATGGAGGAAAAGGGATTGTGGTATGGCCATCCCCCTGGGGGATGATTTCTCACTTTCTGTCTCTCTGTATGTCTTTCTCTCCTCTCTGGTGAGTGCACATATCCTATAGTTAAAAAAAAAAAAAGGAGAGAGAGAGAGAGAGAAAAAAGAAAAGAAATACACATAGAAGAAAGAATATAAAAGGATTAATGTCATAAACAAAGCATATTAGCATGGAACATATGAGTATATGGGAAAATAATCTTATATTTTTTAACCAAACATACTAGAACTTGCCCATCAAAAATGAATACTCCCCTTTTAAAAATAGCCATCTTAAAATATTTTTATCTGAATAGTATTGACATTATTCCAAACATTTTGTGATAGTTCTCTGCAAATACTTTAGTCAGTACTTTATCTTGAAAGAACTCTTTCGAATAAATTTTTAAGTGGTGTCAAATCATATTATGGGAGGAAGATTTGATTACTGGAGCCAACTTAAGGCAATTTGGTGCTATGGTCAGCTGGTCATGAATTTAAGAGAGTTAGAATACAAATAAGTAATGACTTTATAAATGTAAAGACTGACTGACTTGTGAATGTTGTAAACACCCTGAATACAATGTTTGGAGCTATGGTCTTACCATTAGAGTATATAACTGACCTACCAAACTAGCCATTTTGCAGTAGAGAGCTGATCTTTAGGGTATTTGCTTTCTGACCCAAAGATCAGCAAAAAATATGGTTACCTTGTATGAAATATTCAGTCTCCCTATTTCACAGTCCTATGGCTCATTCAGATATAGTTAAAAAGCATTTTATTCAACACAATTAAAATAGTTGGTCCCAGAATGAGGCCATGGCCAAATTCCTAGACCAAAGGCCTACCTTATAAAATACTGAAAGCAGCAGAGAATAATCTATGCCGTAGCAGCGTCAGCCCAGGTCTTTTCTCCCACGGAATGAGTACATTTCAAGTACGTCTCCCACAGATCATGGCTGATTCATTCCACAGCTGACTGTTCTTGAAAACACAGGCTCAAAGGATGGCCATCTCAGTCACTTGGATAGCAGGAACACTGGATTCGTTAGCAATCAAAGCTTGCTCTGCAAGAGTTCTAATGTTATTTTTAACGTCCCAAGTGCCTTTACCTGTGATTTTCAGTAAAACCATTATCCAGAACGCTGTTAGAAGTTGATTTGATAAAAGTTTAGCCTCCGGAACATTGGGTGTTCCTGCTCTTTACTCTCCTGTGAATCAGGAAGCGAATCCCCTTAACCACTCCTCTTATGTCCAATTTCTATCAGAGGGGTGAGGCTGTTTTCCTCCTTAGTTTCCCTATTTCCAGTCATGCTGCTCTTTGAATGAGATTAAAGTGTTTAAAATATATCAGGCTCACCAACGGTGTGACTACTGTCACACTTTAATCAAGAGATATCTGTTCAGTTTTCTCTATTATTTTATATCCATTTCCCTGAAATCATAGGAATGAACTTATATATAATTATGAGGGTAGTTTAATGTTCTTGGAGCAGTGTTTCTTTTTCTAGTTATGATGTCTGTTTCATTTTTATTTAGGGCAGCCAGGATGGTCTTGGTTATGAAGCTAGCAGTGCTGTCAACCTTATTAGATGAAGATGGAAGGCCCTGAAAAGGAAAGCACTACATCAGTAAAAAATTTTCCCAATGACTAGGGGTCTCCTGTGTCTTCCCTATGGCAGAGTAACAGCAAGAGCAACAACAACCGCAATGCATTCGACACCTGTTGAGAATTTACTGTCTGCTGGCTTACCGTTTTTGTGTCTGTTTTCTCATTTGATCTTCCCATCCCTGCATGGTATGATCAGCGATGTTTTACAAATGAAGAAAGCAGTGCACAGCGAGGTTAGGTGACCATTTAGTGTAACACTGAGAACACAGCAGAGTTGATACTCAAACCCCATCAGTCTGAACTCCACAGCCCCCACTTCTCCCTGTTACCACTGCTCTATCTCCATCATTTGCCTAATTAACCCAGGTCTTTTCAGAGAGTGTAGAACTTCCCTCCTGAAATTGGTAATGAAGGTGGGGGGGGAGGCAGAAACAAAATGCAATGGCTCAGGTATGCTCAAAATTCTAAAGTGGAGGGAACCAGCAGTTAGCGTAATGGCTATGTCGCTGGACTCCCACGTAGTCGACCGTGGTTCGCTTCCCGGACCCGGTGGCTTAAAACACACTGGGCGCATGTGTGTGCGTGCCCAAGATCCTGAGAGGAGAATGGAGGAGAAGGGATTGCGGCGTGACCATCCCCCCTGGGGGGGGATTTCTCGCTTTCTGGCTCTAATGGCTCTCTCTGTCTGTCTGGCGAGCGCACGCGCCCTACAGTGAAAATCTCTCAAAAAAAAAAAAGAAAATTCTAAAGTCGACATGCTCTCTGACCCAACAAAGGCTACGTTTGTTGCTTAATTGTTCCTATCATGCTTTTTACCCCACCACAGCCCTGAACTCTGCATTTTAATTCCCTCCGTGCCTGCCCATCTCCTCCAGTAGATTCAAAGTTCTTTGAAAGTAAAGGATATGTTTTTGTTCAAAGTCAAATCTATGATATTCAACAGAAGATTCAGAATGGTAAATATTTGCTGACATGAGCGACCACAAATCAAATGGACACATGTAATACACAGAAAAATGATTTAAATTCTGATTCCAAGATACCACTGGCACACTGGCCAGTTTCTATTTGCTATGCAACTGATACAGCTCTTACCTTCTGCTCAGGCATAGATCAACAGGCTTTGTGTGGGATGGGCACCCATATATATAGTAGATAGGCAGGAAGATGGGTATATTTATCTATGAATATGTATATGTGCATGTATGGTGTATGTGTGTATTTATGTGTCTGCATATGTGTCTGTGTTCAAGGAGATTTCAAAAGGTTTGTAGACAAATGCAATTGAATGCAGATTTATTTTGGTGCAAAATTTTTTAAATCTATGTATAGTTTCTCATAATATGTGTTTTTGAGGTCTTCAAAATGCATTTTCTATTAACTTTTTGAAGTATTGTCATATGAGTGTATGTAGATAGATTTTTTTTTTTCTGGAGAGGTTTTTGCTATAGGGCATGTGCTCTTGTCAGAAAGACAGAGAGACAGAGAGAGAATGAGAAATCATCCCCCAAGGGATGGCCATGCTGCAATCCCTTCTCCTCCATTCTCCTCTTGGGATCTTGGGCATGCATGCACACATGCCCGGTGTGAGTTTAAGCCGCTGGGTCCGAGACTCAAACCACGGTTGATTACATGGGAGTCCAGCGACATAGCCATTACGCCAACTGCTGGTCCTGACAGATTTTTTTTTCTAATGTGTACAGAGAATTGTGGACTCAACACTCCAAAAATTAATTATTTATCTCTGTAAATAGAGTCTGTACCAGCCTCAGTTAAGAAAATAGTGGAATTTAGAACTCTTGCTCACTGCCTAAAATAACCATTTGAATCCAAATAATCCAGGCACAAGGATTTTACTTTTCCAGCTTCCCCAATGAAACTGTTAAGTGAACATGAAGAGACACTGGTGTTAGAGCTCACTGTCAGGTGGGCTACATCACAGCAGATAGGCCACACACCTGATGAATCTAGGTCATGTTCATTTCCATTACTTTAACTGAAAGTTCCTGAGGTTCAGGAATTGCTTTTCTCTCCTTGCTGTTTCCTATACCTGCTGCTCAGATTCTGGGGATAACATCCTGCACTCTGCTATTGCCTGATTTCTGAACCCTGTTGCTGAACCTGTACCATGGCTCCCTGCAGTCCCCAGCTTCACACTATGATTCTCTCATTCCTGCAAATCTTGCAGTTTGGAGCCACCTGCCAATCTCTTTATTCATTCCCTTTGCCATGACCTGAGTGCTCTGGATTTGTCTACCTGCCTATGCCTTACCACTTTTTTTTTATCATGAGCCCCAGCTATATTTCAGTGGACTTTAATGCTGTTTTTTTGCCCACCTGATCATTTCTAGCCAAGTCAACCTACCAAGACACCAGCACTGAGCCCAGATGGTACCTGGCCCCTGGCTGGCCTCTGTGCTCACATCAGCGGTGATGCTGGTGTGCGCTGGCATATGCCTGCCCCTCTGTGCTAGATCTTTGCATACCAACTCCACACTTCATAATGGGAAACCTTACTTTTTGCTTTAATTGCCTATGCTGTCTTAGAAACTGTCTTATTGTTTTGTTTTCTGGATTAGGATTCCTCTTCTCTTTGTTCTGAACTTTTGCCATGAGCAAGCTCAGCCTCCAGACAAGTTTGAGGTTTCTGAATTTAGGAAACATTCTACTCCCCCAAATAACTGCCTTTTCATATGTGATCTTTTGCCAACTGTAAAAGCTCTAGAGCACTGAATCTTGCAACGTGGTCCCAGGCCCAGCAGATGCATTGCTTAAGAACTCATTTGAAATGCAATTTCTCATGCCACACTTCAGATCTGCTTGAAAAGAAACTCTGGGGACCAGCAGTTAGTGTAATGGCTATGTCGCTGAACTCCCATGTAGCTGATTGTGGTTCGAGTCCCGGACCCAGTGGCTTATACTCACACCAGGCACGTGTGCGTGCGTGCCCAAGATCCCGAGAAGAGAATGGAAGAGAAGGGATTGTGACATGGCCATCCCCCCTGGGGGGGGGTTGAATTCTTGCTTTCTATCTCTCTGTCTCTGTCTGTCTTTCTGGCGAGTACACGAAAAGAAACTCTGGTGGTGGATCTCAGAAAAACATGTGACATCAAGCTCACCAGCTGATCTGAAGGCACTTGAGTCTGAAGACTATTGCCCTAGAGCAGTGGTCCCAATCTTCCTGGCACAAAGAACTTGCCTCATAGAAGAGAGTCTCTTTACAGATGAAGGATAGGGAGTGGGGGGATGGGGATGGTCCAAAGATGACCCAAGCACACCATATCTACCGTGCATTTCATTTCCACAACTAACACATGGCAATATACAATGAAACAATCAATAGCAATAGGGTTCATGATTCTATGAGAATCCAATAGGAAGCCCAGGCAACAATGTGAGCGATGGGAAAAGACTGCAAACACAGAGAAAGCCTTGATCTAGGTGACAGGACCAAAAAGCCATAGACCAACACCAGTCTGCAGTCTAAGGGTTGAGGGCCACTAGCCTAGAGAAACATCCTCTATAGCATGGCATAGTCTGCCTCCTCCTGTGTCCTCTCGAGCTTAGGGAAGACAGTCCTAAATTCTATTTATTTCCTGCTTTGGAATCCCTGTTTCTCTGTTCTTTTGTAATTATCTGAATTTCAGATTGTTAATCTGTTAATAAAATTTTTCTGCCTGATGAGACCCAGTTTGCCTGCTTCCGTATGTCTAAGGCCCATTGAAACTGCACCAATGCCGGTGTTAACAACATAGGGATGACACTCTAGCAAGGAACATTTCTGCATCCCTCCTGCTATACTGTCACTGGTATCTAAGTAAGGAGAGTCGTCCTTCAGTGCAGACGCTGACCTCATGCAGCAAGATGGGTCTTACACCTCTGAGCAGCGGCATTCAGGGCGATGGATATTAACAAATACAAGGATGGCAAAAACCTCTGCTTATTGCAATTTTAATCATTCCCATTTCTCTCTCCAAAGAATTCCAAGCACTTGAGAATCAACTTCAGAAATAAATCAGAACATTTTTCTGGCAAAATCAATACTTAGAGACTTTTGAAGTCTAGTGTCTTTTTGAATATAAACTACCTCATCATACTGGTGGTAGATGCTCAGTTGAAGCTAGCAAGAGATATATAAAACCTAATAGCACCCCTGATATAAACAGATAATATAACTACAGTGATTTCGCATTTATGCTTCTAAATTTGAAAGGCCAAGGGAAACTATGGGCCTGAAAGAAGTGCTTTTAAATAAGAGAGCAAACACTGGTTTCACTGTGTATCATGTTAGTTCACTTCAGACACTAGGGAAATAGTCTTTCCTTTCTTACCTTTTTTGTTTGTTTGTTTTAATGTTTTCTCCATAGGTTATATATGTTCACTAGGGAAACAGAGAGAAAGAGTGAGGGAAAGTGAGAAATCTTCCCAGGGGTGATGGTCATGCAGCAATTATTTCTTTTCCATCGTCCTCCTGGGGCTTCAGCA